TATATATATATATATATAATTTATATATAGATCACTGCATCAACAGGAACAGTGCGTGAAACTTTTTCTTCATATTGGTGACGAAAAGATGCCTCCCTTACGCCCCTCCTCCACACTGCTCGCCAATGGACAGGCATGAAATGTCGTTGCTCAACCCACAAACTCCTTTCAGTCCTCGTTAATCACCGCCGCTTCCTTGCGCCCTGCACAAGCTTCACCATCTCAAGAGCCTCCGCACACTTGCCATAGTACGCGTACACATTCCGCCTAATGATGAACCCAAGAGACTCGTAAATGCGCGGAACTGCAGCCACCAGCCGCTCTGCCTCTTCTACCTGCATATGGTTCGCTTCCTCTCCGTCAGAAGCTGACAGCCCCTTTCCTATTTCCACTCCCTTTATTGTTCTTATCGTTGATGATGATGATGATGATGATGACGATGATGCCTTTTCCGCCACAGAGGAAGATGACGTATCGGTACCGGTAATACGACGCAGGTAGTCGCTGGTGCTCGATGACGGCCCCATTGTGTGCAGCCGCCACCTCGCAATCACTCTGCGTGAATCACCACCCTCCACCAGTCTCAATGCCCGCCCAAGCAACTGATGCGCGATACGGTGCCTGCGATACCTCGGTTGCACCAGCACAACCTGCAGGTATCCCTCCACCAGCGCACCAGGGGCGAGGGGTACCCAGACCACCCCCACAACTCCCACCATTCTTGTAGCAACACTGTCTTGTGGTGTTGTTTCTGGCACGGTGGCATCCATGCTGCACGCCACGAGAAAGAGGTCTACCTGCTGCAGCTGCCTAGGCGTACACGCGGGGTACGGAAAGAAGCTCCACTTTGCCAGTGATTCCACCACGGCGGAATGTATAGCGCTGTCCCGCCGCCTCTCTACCTCGTGGAAGGAGAAGGATGCCGTCATCTCGTGGCACACAGCGCCACTGCTCGACGGCGCCTCCCCCATACAACACAGGCACCGCCTCCTACCGCTGGTACTGGCTGTCCGTATTGTCTACCTTGGCAGTTACCAGTGACGGGTAGAAGAGGAAAACAAAAAGCATTGTGCCACACAACGTTATATACAAAGAGACATGTCACTTCACCGTTACCTCTACTCATGCTACTACTTCAAATTCCCACCATTTTCCCCGCTCCCCTGTTTCCCCTCTCTAATGTTTTTTTTTTTTTTGCATGTTTAGGTGGAAAAGAGATCCAAAAAGAAAGCCTATCAAAGCGAACCTTAATGAGGAATAGTCAACATTAAAGAGTTTATACCCAGGATGATTACATCGGTGTGACCTTGACCAGAGTTGAGGGCTGCAGCAGAGTATTGGGCGACCGTGTCACACGCAGCTCACGGCTCTGGAGAGAGCTGTTGCCATCGCCGCCTTCGCTACGAGTAGCAATGATAATGTCCTGCAGAACCCCCATTGACTTTCCGACCGCCACATCCAACGTGCTGTTGTGGGAGAAGGCGAGCAGCGAGGCAGCAAAGAGGTCGCCTGTACCAGTGTAGCGTCCCTCGTGGTACGGAACCACACCAGTGAAGCGCTGCGCCGTCGCCGCCCCTGATGGCTTTGTCGACAAGAGGAAGTGGAGGTTCTGCGGGTCCTCCTTGAGGCGGAAGGACTTGATGACGACGCTCGTGGTGCCCTGTGCGTGGAACCAGTCCGCCGCCTGCATGGCGGTCGCCATGTCACACACGCTGATGCCGCTCAGCAGGCCGGCCTCGTAGTAGTTGGGTGTCGCCACATCAGCGCACTTGACGAGCTCCCGGTACGCCTCGATGACCTCCGGCTTGCAATACATGATGCCGTCATCACCCATCACGGGGTCGCAGAAAAATGTGAGTGCCTTCCCCTCACTCTTGCGAAGCTCACGGATCTCATTCAACGTATCGCGTATACGCAACACAATATCGGGGTTATTGACGTATCCCGTGAGAACGTAGCGGTAGCTCGCGAGGAAGTTGTTCGCACGGACACCTTCCATCAGGACGTCATACTCATTGACGTCCATGCGGTGCCCGCGGATAATAGAGTAGCCGCTGTGGTTGGACAGACTGACAGTGTTTATACCATCAACGTCGAAACCGTGCAGCTGCAGCGGAAAAGTCGCCGCCTTGTTTCCCACATAACCGTGGGTTACGAATGATTGGATAGATAAAATCGTTTTTTCCTGGCTCATTTTTGTTTGGATTTTTTTTTTCTTTAGTGTCCCTTTGCCTTTGCGAATGTAGAGTTTAAACCTGCCTCTATAGGCACGCCAGGAAGGAAAGAAGACGGGAACAAAAAGAACAAGAGGAGAGATCATATACACAATATGCAGAAGCCTCTCAGGGGATGCATCACTCACGTCAAGCATTACCTACACGGGCCTTTTCTCCCACCCTCCATTAGTTTCACCCCAAAAAGTTGTACCCAGCAATGGAAACAATTAGTTGGGGTCTGCACCGTCGAGTGCGGCATGGACGGAAGTGTACGTATGGCTACTCACCATGCGCCGTGTCGACGCGTCAGCGCTCGTCCAGAAGTGTAGCTTGCCCAAATATATACCGCGCCGTGGTGGGCTCTCGGCCTCCCTCAACCTGCTGCTGCTGTTGTTGTTGTTGTTGCTACTCCTGCCCCCGTTGTTGGTGTCGTCTTCATCGTCGTTGCTGCTGTGTCGCTGCTCTACAACCTCCTTCAGTGCCCCGCTCGGCGAACCCACCGCCACTGCAGCATGAACAAGTCGCCACTCGACCACCTCAACAAGCACCGAGACAATGCCAGATACTGGCAACGGCAGGCTGTACGCGTAGGCAAATATCTCTTGCAGGTTCATTTCGAGCGACGGGAGCGGCGGCCACGGTAGATGGAAGAGCCCCAAGTTGCCACGGTATCCTGATGCTGACACGCCGATAAGGCGTAGTGCCGTTGCGATGCCGCAGTGCGATGTCGTCATCGCCGCTGGGTGATGTAACTCGAGTGCGAAGCCGCACACCGTCGACGGGGCAGCGAAGTCAAACTCGAACAACACCAGCTCCGTGTCGGTGTGCAGAATCATGTTGCGCAGTGGGATGGGGCGCGTCATGGGCAGCATACGCGGGAGGCATGCTACGCCCAATACGCCGCTCGTGCAGTGCGGAATAGGTGTGTGGAGGCCACCGTAGCGACACATGTCAGGCTTACACTTGTAGTACGCCGCGCATCGACCTGGCCTGTCTGGGGTGAAGCAGCCCCACACGGAGAAGTGTTCCACCCGCAGCAACGCGAGATCCATGACAGCACCAACAAAAAAGAGAGCCGTGAAAATAGAGGTGCCCCGTGCCCCTCGTGGTGAGGCAGACTCCTCCTGTTGCTGCTGCTGCTGCTGCTGCTGCATCAGCAGCTTTAGCACTTGTGGGCCAGACCCACTGGTGTCAGGCATCTCTCCAGTCGCCGTGTATGGGGCGATGGACGTGCTGTGAAAGAGGCGGAGGCTCTGCAAAGAGTCCCCCACCTGCAGCTGCACCTCGATGGCGCCCCGCGGCGCCTCTGCCAACGTGTAGTGCAACTCTCCATGAGAAATAGCAGCAGGGTGGGGAAGAAGAATAACTACGTGGCGGCTTATACGTGTGGCCGACTCAGTCCATTCCTCATCCACGACACACCGCCAGCTCACAAGTGTGCTAGTGCTGAGCCCTTCGACGCCAAGCACCTCTTCGAAAAGGGGTGAGATAGAAGCAGCAACAGAGGTGTCCGAATCCATTCCAGGCGCGCTAACTACACGCGCCAATGGATGCAGCGTCAGTTGGTACGGCATGCCACACGCCTCCAATGGCCTAGCCTGCAGGTAGCTGCTACTGTGATTCGGGTACAGCGGCAGGACGGACGCTATCCGTGGTATCGTGCTTCGCGCGTAGAAATCGATGGCCTCTTCGGTTTCCGTGTCAGTGTCTACCCCACCTTCATGCTCACTCCAGCGGAACCGCATCAGTATGTCCTCCAGTCGCTCAACCTTTTTGGAACAATTCAAACACACATAAGCGCAAGCATTACGAATACCCAGCTCAATTAGGCGCACAGGATTCTCCGAGATGCACTTCTCACAGACGTGACGTTGGCATCGACCGCACTCCTTGGCACCTGATAACCAGGAAAATCCATGACGACACAGGGCACAGCGCCTCCGTTTTTCTCTGTTCGCCTTGGCTCGCTTCTTTTCACCGATGCCATGACCCCCACTTGACGACTGTAATAGTTGTCGTTGCTGTTTGATGAACAAAATATCCGCCGTCTCCTCCGGCAGATGAGAGCGGTGAAATGCGGAGTGGGGCAGCACTTGGTACGCTGGGTTCATAATCCAGCGCGGTACGCCTATGCGGTGCAAGCACCAGTCACGATAGTAACGACGCGTGTGGCACTGAAGTCGCTTCGACTCCAACTCCAGCGCCAACGCCAAATCCAATTGGAAAAACTCTGCCGGAATGGAGTTGCTGACCTTGTGCAAGTACATCTCTTGACGGCCATGGGCCTCTGCGACGGCGTTAATGTGGGACTCCTGTTTGTCTACAAGTTTTCCCCCCGCCACGTCTTGGCCAATTTTGTTACTGTCACTATATTTATGTTTGATGCCACTTTCTTCGTTGTGTGGATCGCCATGCGGCGGTGAGTCCAACTGCGGTTGCCCGGTGCATCCCTCGTCGCCTTGCCCTGACAGGAACGGTGGCACTGTTACACCAAGCATGCGCCGCAGTGTTGTGCGATAACCAACGACCGCCGGCTGTTCATCATGTGGGATGCACTGCAGCGGCTCGCCAAAGACCAGCACAGGCGGCATAGCCATAGGGTTGCAGCCAGAGCCCCGCAGGATGAAGCGCAGAAAACGTGCAATGACAGGCGTGTCGTGGTGAAACTCACGAGCACATCTACCAGTGCCTGCACGTGACGCCTCCAGTACAGAGAATGGCACCTTGCTNNCTGCCCCGCGTCCTGCTGCTGCCACAGAGTGGAAGCTGCATGTCCTCCAAAACCACCCGCTCATGCGTCTGTCCCATGTAACAGCAGGTTACAAGTGACAGTGAAAGCACCGCCGCATACGGCGCCTCTTGAACGGCGTTGGCAACTTCCAATGCCACATGGGTGATGTAAGAAAGAGAAGGAAGCGCAATGGTGAAGTCCACGGTGCTGTAGCACGACGGTACAAGGAGCGGCTGCGACGAAGGATGCACCAAGCCTTGGAACATACTTAGTGTTGGTGCAGAAACAGCTGTAGGAGATGATTTCAGTACCAAATTGTCTTCGCACGAGTTGGGCAGGTTTAAAGGCCGCATGGGCGTGAAGGGAAAGAAACGCCGTCGCGATACTTTTAACGGGCTTTCCGCCTCATCCAACACCTCAGTGGAGTCTTGCGTCGCACGCTGTGGAACCATCAAGTGCGCGCTGATGATCATTGAGAGACGCGATGGATGTGAAATAAGAACCGTTCGGTGTCGCACAAGCTCTCTGGGATAGAACCCACCCCCACCAAGGAAGAGATTCATCAGAAACGAACGCATAGAGGGATTCAAAATTGTATTAGGGCATCTGCCAGATGTATCGTCACCATAGCTACGCACTGCAGCAGCAGCAGGAAACTCCTCCGTGGAAAGTGTCAGTTGCGCGATGCGCTGCGCTGCGTCCCAAACAAGCGGGCTAAACGCCGGTAGCGTTCCCTCCACACAAACACCTGCAAGACAGCACCGTGCACAACTCACTGCCTCCGGTGTCACGCAGACGGCATTGATACGAGGCGTTCCAGCCGCCGAAGAGGCTAACAAACGGAAAATACTATCCACCACAGAAGCATAATCCTGCAAAAATTGCACCAACCCACTGCAGTTGTAGAGCTCGTCGCAAACCCACATCACAACCCAGCCGAAACAAACAATAATAGAAGCGATAATCCCCGTCTCCGTGTCGTCAGAGACGCATACGCGCGGCACACAAATTTCCGGTAGCTTTCCCTTCCTCCCATGCAGAGCGTCACCGCCCCAAAAGGTCTGCAAAAATCCGTCAGAATAGTCTTCCGCCGCCGCTCTTCCTCCTCCTCCTCCTCCTCCTGCTGCTGCTGCTCTGCCCCGAGTGGAGAGCGTACACAGCGCACCAATCGTGACGGGGGGTAGAAGCCCGTGCGCCTTAATGTGCTCTGCAAGTGACTGGAGAACATTCTGGAGGCTCGTGTCAATGAGTGTAGAACCCACCGCAGTGAGACTAGCTTTGCTGCCTTTAACCGTGAAACACTCCCCGACATTCATCAATAAGTGGGGGCGCCTTTGCGGTGAGCCCTCTTCACTGAGGTGCTGCTGCAGCTGCTGCTGCTGCCTTGAGGACGGGTCGCACGCATGGTGACGGGAAGGCGACGCGCACCTCTCCGTGTCACCCGCGACTTGGACGATAATCGGCCGCCGCAACGCCATGCTGCCAGCGTGAACCAAACTGATCTTCGTCCCCGGTCCGTAGCGTTCCATGTAACCTGAGAAAATGGCAGCCACGTGATCCTCGCGCGGTGGAAGCGGGTCAACGAACCGCGCCGTAAAGTCTTTGAACCTCTTTTTCTGCTCAAACAGCTCTGCGTGGCCGGCGAAGTCGGCGCCACGCCGCCACGTCAGCGATGAAACAACCTCGGTCTTCCCATCGCCGTGGGTGCATCGACGCGCATGCACGATGAACAGCTGAAACTCGGTCTCTAACGTCGAGACGTACTCGTCCAGCTCTGGACTTGCAGACTCCAGAGAGTAGTTGTACAGACAACCAGGAAATGCCAGGCGGCTAAAACGCACAACCAACAGAGCGATGTTAGGCGCGAGAGGCGGGTCGGTCAATGCAGTGAGAGAGCACGATCCGAGTGCAAGGCGGCAGCACCAATTTCCAAGCCCAAAGACGTCGCAACAACCAATAAGCTCCTCGTTCCAGAGGCAGTCACAGCGCCCTAACGCGTTGCGCCCCGTCCGCACAGGCAGCGGCGGCAGGAACGTGTCGCTGTACAGTGGCAGCGTGGAGGGCTCACCACCTGCCCCTGCCGCAGCGCAGCGTCTCACTGCATCCTCCAAGACACTGCAATGCGTCACATCCAAGCCAGGAGAGAAGAACAAATACGGCGGCACTGTGTCACTCGTTAGCGTCGGCAACGCGTGGCGAGGGCCGCTGAGAAGCCACACGTGCACGCCGGTGCTCGTGAGCGGCTGCTGTAGCGCCGGTACTGCGACTCGCAGGGGAATGCTGTGCCACTGTGCCCTCCTCACAACGCAGATGGGTGGCAAAGTCGACGGCGCCAGTGGGTCGCACGGCATGCCCGCAGCACTGTGATCCGGAGTGGAATGAGGACTCGTGACGAGTGGCGTAACCGCCGTCACAAAAAGCAGATGGATGGCCTCCTCTGTAAGGCAGGCGCCAGCGAAGGCTACGAACTCACACACTGTGAGCACCTCGTACGGGTGTGAAGTATGGGAACACAAGGCAGGAATGGCGTCCATGGCTTCACGCATGGTGGCAAAGAGGTCCTTCTGCGGCACTCCCACGTGGAGCAGCTGCCCTGACACTGTGTCCACTGTGATGACAGCGACTCCACGCTCACTCTCGTCGGGCATCCCCCCGCCATCCTTGCACTCTTGCGCCGCAGAGTTCCTTCCTTTTCCTCGTATGCTCCTGATTTCTGTATCGCCGGCTCCACCCTCGGACACTGCGCAGCTCCGTACCGAGTCCTCTTCACTGCTAGAAGATGATGAAAAAGCAGTCATATTCAGCATCCTATTCACGGGCGAAGTGCCAGGGCTACGGCCGCTAGGCACAGCGGTGCCGCACGGTGTAGGGGGTGGCATGACGATGAAGAAACACGCGTGCGGGTTGTGTGTGCCCCGAGAGATCCCTGCCGCCACCAGCCTGCCCGGCATGGAGGCCATCTCGATGGGACTGCTGTTCACTCACAGCCTCCGCTGCCGCAGCCACAAAAGAAGAGGGAAAGAGGAACGAGAGAGACAAGGCTGTAAAGATAAAAAGAGAACACAACACCCAGAGCGCACGCACCCCAAGACAATGGGAGCACAAGACATATATAAAGGAGTACTCAAAAGAAGCCAAGCGCGTACATGCTTGCGCCAAGGTCAATCTGTCTCCAATACTTCTTTTCAGCTTCTTGTTTCCCCCACAAGTGTTGAGTTTTACATCATGGCTCTCTACTTCTCTTATCACAGTCAAGCTACCCAGTCACGCATCTCCTTCCACTGATTCTTCAATATGTCAAAGAAGACATCGTCCTCCTCGATCACCGCGCTGACGCCGTTGTAGTAATCAACAAACTCGGAGTAGGGGATCAGCCCGTACTGCTTGTTCTCATCCCATACAGTAAGGAATCCCTTCAGAAGCTTGTCAGCAGAAAAGAGCCGCTCCACCATCACCACGGGGTGCTCCTGCGCGTTGTAGCGGGCCTGGATGTCTAAAATGTTAAGGTAGCCGTTGCCATCAAAGTCAAGTTTGCGGAAGATGTTCCACACGGCGTCCTTTCGCCTCTGACTCATCGGTCCGCGAACGTAATCCATAAAGAAGTCATAGTCGATGCACCCCTCCTCGTTCTGCGGGAACGCGGCGTGGATGGTCTCTGCAATGTGGCTAATTCTAAGGCTTGATTGCTGTGTGTCGTTGAACGAGAGCGTCGTGGTGAATGCGCGCGAGTCACGCACAAACTTCTCGATGTTCTCCAGCGACATCCACCGTTTTCCATCCGCGCTTACGCGGCGGAAGTGGCGGCCCATCGCTTTTATGCCGATCTCTGGGATGCCGTTGCCGGCGTGCATGACATACGCCTCTCTTATCTCGCACAGCAGCTCCACCGCCTCGCCCGCGACGCGGTGTGTGTGGTTGAGCCTCGTTGTGATGTCGTTGCCAATGGCCGCCAGTGCGGCGCCGGTGCGAGTGCGCAGGCGCGTGTCGTCGCAGTGCACAACCTTGTACCGCTTCGCCGCGTCGTCGCGCTGGTTCTGCGGTGCGCCCAGCGTGAAGACGGTGCCGACCTGAAAGTCATCGGTGAGGAAGTGCTCGCCGTCATCCTTCACATACACATCGAAGGGGTACGCGGGGAAGTGGCGCGGCACTTTGTAGCCGAGCGGCCCTGGTAGCTCCCGCACCTCCTCCACGTAGAAGCCGCGCCAGCGTGGGAAGTAGCAGCCGATGAAGTACCGCTGCACGTCGCGCTCGTGCTGCGACAGCTGTACGCAGTGGAAAAGCAGGAAGTCGCCGCGCTCGAGGCGGTTCGCATCGCTATAAAGCGTCGTGTTCATGCGCACTGACATGCCGCCGCACGTCCGTGGGAGTATCTGTGTGTGTGTGTGTGTGTGTGTGTGTGTGTGTGTGTGTGAAGGCACGAGGCAACTCTTCTCCCCCTTCACGTGTATCGTCAATTGCCACACTCGCACATAGAGAGAAGCCGACGCATACGCCAACAACAGAATTAAAAAAAAAAAAGAAAACAAATGGACAAGGAGTAACGAATAAGAAGAGGACAGACCACAACACACCGAATGATGACGGTCGGGAGCACGGATTCAGACACCACACGCGTCCTGTCAGACAGGTGGGTTCCCCGCGCAGAATCACACGCATACAAGTGCGCGGAGGGGGCCAGCTAGCAAAGGATGTGAGACACACCGCTTCTTATATCGCTCATTCGCCCCGCCTTTCCGGCGTTGGCGGCGTCTCAAGCAAAGCATACCAACACAACGCGCTGGACGAGAATCACAGACTCCCATACAACCACAAAAAAGAGTCCAGCTGCACACCCCCACCCTCAAACACACACGTAGGGCGATCAAGCGTGCAGTTAGGAGTGTTGCAAATGGCCCGCTGCTGCCCACACATCTGAGAACGGGGGGGGGCAAAAAGGGGATATTTTTGTTTTTTGATCACGTCCATATTCGCCGAATCCTCCCGATAAATCGGCAAGCCAGAGACAAAATGGCCACGCAGAAAAGAAAATAGAACCTATGAATGAAAAAGCAAGGGGAATCAAGAAGCAGTCACAACAATCGTCTTAGACTAAACCGACTGTCATGCTCTCCACCTTCATCTTCCCCTACACTTCCTTTCAATTCATTTTCTTCTCTCGCGCTCACCTGCGTTGCCACGCGTTGGGCCGCTGAGTCCGCTTGGCATGCGGCAGGCCAATTGCTCGGCGCGGGTTTGTTGAAGGCAGCTCGGGGAAGTCTTCCGGGTCCTCACGGTAGCCCGCCCCTGTGTATAGCAAAGGTGCCTGTTGCTGCTGCTCTTGTCGTGCCGGTTCTCGTTGTTGCTGCTGCTGCCGTACCGAACCCCACGAAGAATTAGCACACACAGCAGCAGACGATGGCCTATTAGTATTACTGTTATTGTTTCTGTTGTCGATGCCGCTACCACTACCGCTGTTTTGACCCCAGGCTGAATGTTGTTGCTGTTGTTGTTGGCTGATTAGAGCTGCACTGCCTCGCTCGAGCCACACATTACGTCCGCCGCCCTTATTTCCATAACGTTTGTTGGTTTTTTGTTGGAGGAGCGTCGCCAGTTCATGCTGTTTCTTTATTTTTACCTCCTGTGCCTTCTTCTTCGCCTCCTCCTCCTGCATCCGGTTGGCGTGCTGTACCTCTGGGGAGTTTCGCATCTTCTCAACCTGCACTAAAGCTTCCTTCCGCTCCGGGATCGGGACGGTGGCGACCAGCAGGGGAAACACCTTTTCAAAGGCGCTTTCCAACGGAAAGAACTCAGTGCGCAGACAGTCGTAGTACCTCGTTGCCAGCATGCCTCCCCCCATAAAATCTGCCGTGGTGGCGCGAAAATCATTCAATAGATGCAGTTCCTTCAGCTCCTCTTGCAGAACTGTGTCGAGTGCCCTTTGCAGTTCTGCTCGGTTTGACGGCACCTTATATTTGGCGTTGTAACTCTCATCACTCTCTGACACCCCAAACGCCCTCGGATGCAGCTCATCACGCGTCACTGTGTCCTTCTGACGCTCCGTGTGCATGAGCGGGCAAAGCACACCGCGGGTGCGAAAGTGCGTTGGTAGCCCAGGAGCATCATGCGGCGCCGCCTCAGCACTAACGCCGTTCCTGTTTCCTCTTCCTCCTTTTTTGGAGTGGCGCCCCTTATTATGGTTGCTTGTTGCGCTACGCGTTGGCATGAGTTCTTCCGTCTCGCGCCCCGAGACATGGTCAAAGACAACGCGGAGGACATTCGCGTTGGGTGCCGCTGTCGCCGTGCCGCTGATAGCGGCAGCAGAAGCAGAAGCGCCAGGGGAGCTGCCCGTTGGGTTGGTAGCTGACGCCTCGGAGAAAAGCGTTACGCGTGAGCGTACGCCGTGGACCCGCTGCTTGTGCACGGCCAGATCCAAGTCTGACGCAAACACACGCACCATCGGATCGAGCGCCGCACAGGTAGGGTGGTCGCACAGTTTGTGCTCACTCTCAAAGTGTCGCAGCAATTTTGCACGGTTTTGATAGTATGTGAATGTAAACCCGTGGCGATTGCAGACATCACACGTGAAGTGTTCATGCTTCATGTGCTTTAGCAGATGGTCCTCGTCGTAGAAGCGTGCCCTCTTGCAGAAGGCACAGTACGGGTGGCCCAAGAACGATGTGGAGTCCTGCGGGCAGACGCCCTCCATGTGCAGTGGCAGATCCGACTTATTGTACACGCGCTGCTCACAAAGAAAGATGGAGCGGTGCTCGAGGCAGATCGGGCAGTACTCCAGCCCGTGGTCGACGCGCAGGTGCTCGCGTAGCACTGGCAGCTCGTAGAACGGATCCTGCACCCCCTTGCGCCAGCACGCGGGCACAGGGCAGACGTACTTGTACATCTTGGCCATTTCGCGCGCCAGTGCGTCGCCGTGCACGTAGCATTGCAGGTGCTCTTCGAAGACCGACGCCTCCTTCATTGTGCGTAGCGACGCCGCGCTGAACTTTTCTTCGTCGCTCGCAGCGTCTGGGAGCAGGCGCGTGACGATCACCGTCTTCCCCGCGTCGCGGCACACCGGGCAGGCGCCATGGTCAATGGCGTGTATGTGCAGGCCGCAGATGTAGCACACGAAGTGGCCACAATTGAACACCGCCAGCGCATCACACGCCTCAGCACAGATGAGGCACTCGACCGGCACCAACTTCCCTTCCGCGTTTGACATTTCTTTCCTTCGCCACTACTCCACACGTCTCTCCCTTGCTACGCAGATTTCGCCAATCGCTCTTAGGCTGCTGCAGCTGGCTTCCTATTCCTTCGGCCAACGCAATCCCTTTCTTGTTGTTTGGCAAGAGAAGACGCGAACTCAAGGGTTACAAAAACAAAAACAAAAATACACATGGCAGAAGAGTAAACAGCTCCCACCTACCCCAATCGCACTCACGATCGTAATGTCCGTGCGTCTACGCGTGTGAGTACCGGCGTGCTTACAAGAATTTTTTTTTGTAGTGTGTGTGTGTGTGTGTGTGTGTCTGACACCACCGCAGCAGAAGAGACGCGGAGAGAAGCGTTCCTTCCTTCGTTTACTTACTTCCCCGCCTCCCCCCTTCTTGTTGACCGCCGCGAAACGTCTTCCGCACGCCGCGGGGGAAAACAAACACCACGCGAAGAATGCGCGACATACAGAGCATACAGGTGCGCAGAAAAGAAAGAAAAACAAAAAAAAAAAGCAGCCGACTCCCCACGTCACTTCCCGGAGGAGCAGTGAGTTAGTAAGGGTGCCAAGGCCCACGTATTTGCTCTGCTCCATTCGTGACACGCGCGCATGTACCGTTGCCCTCACGCGGAGACCCACACGCACGGCAAGGAACAGCTGCAGTGGAAATTGGACCCACGCACAGAAGTAGGTGAGAAAAGGGACAGTGCAGAAGAAAAACTCTAAAAGGAGGAAAGGAATGGTACATAATTATAACCTCTCCGAGTGAATCTAGGATTCTAAATAAATCGAATACAAAAAAAGGTTACTGAACGTTCAGCATTGCTCCACGAGGATTTGAAGTCGGCGGACGGCTGGGTGGCGGTGTTGGTATCGACACCACGTCGTCCGACTCGGACCATTTCTTTATAGGTGCCAGCTTTGGCTGTTTAAGACGCCCCATAGCCGCCTCTCTCTCATCGATGTTTTCACTCGCTGACTTTGAATTATCCTTCTTCGATGCTGCAGCGGGGCTGACGTTCACCGGCACCGGTGCGAGTGGCGCGACTTCCTCAGCACCCTTGCTTTTCGCGTGCTTGCTGTGTTTGTGCTTTTTCTTCGGCTCGGTGCCCACCTCCGCCTTGTGTGCATGTGGGTCGCTGCTGCGCGTGCTCGCATTGATATTATCCGCGTCAGCATGGGCACCCGGTGGGGCGACACCACGCGTAAACACTGGCGCATAGGCGAGCGACGTGTAGAGCGGCCCCATCTCAACGTGGGATATGAGGAAGGCGGTGGAGAGGCTGTCAATTGGTACCTCGCGGTCCACCTCAACAAATGATGGGAATGTTGCCTGGGAGTTGTCATCGCACTCGAGTGTCATCGCCTGCTTCCCGGCGGCCCACATCGGTTCTACAATAGTAGTCACCTCGTAGCGATTCTCGTTGTGAATGAATTGGACGGCGCGCAACACCACATCGCGCCGCTGTGGATCGCGGTGCCGTGCGAGGCTACTGTACTCCTTACTGCTGATGCGCTGCTCGTTCTTGACGCGCTGACCCGGCTCCAACCAGAGAAACGCGTTCTGCACTGCCTGCAGATCCTCGTGGTGGGCGGCCGGCGACATCTCGCGTGCGAGGCTGCCTTCAGCCCCATCGCTACCAGAGCCACGCCGAGTGCTGCTGGCACTGCGGATGGAGTTAAAGAAGTACATGCACTCCCCCGATGACTGCTCGCGCTTGATGATGAGACGGATGTCGTTCAGTTGACTGTTGCATAGCAGCGTAATGGTGAGGGTGCAGGTGGCGTACTTGACGGGAAGTTCCTTGGGGCAGTTGCGCACTAAGTAGTATGTCGTGTTCTGCATGGAGAACTTCTGCCCAATCACCTGGCCGACAAGCGCCAGTCCGCGCTCCATCTTCTCCTCAAACGTGGTGGAGTTGTCGACGATGCGCAGCATTGGGTGACCTATATAGACTTGACGCAACTTTTCGTCAGAATCCACCGCCCCCTCGAGGCTCTCGTAACGGGCGGGGTTGTCAAGGTTGTAGTACTCCTCTGCACCAGCTGCTGCTGTTACAAGGTGGATGACAGCGTCGTAGCGGTCTCGCAGCATGTCTGCAGTGACGCTCAGCCGCTCCAGAATCCGCGCAAACGTGTCTTCCGGACAGAAGGCTCGTCCATCCATTGCCCCACGGTCGGAGATGACGATGCTCGGCTTGCCGGAGGCCATGGCGATGTTGTAGAACTGGTCCTCCAGCGCGATCTGCACGCGGAGGAGGGCTAGCTGCTGCTGCTCGGCAAAATCGCCGTCCCACACCATGCCACCCGTCACGAGCAGCGTCGCCGCCTCTGGGACGCAGTACACCTTGTAGCCGGTGCGCTCCGGCATCTTCGCCTGCAGTTGCGTGAGGAACGTCGACTTCCCCGCACACGGACCGCCAGTAAGACATATACGGAACACACGGTGGTTGTGCTTCAGCTTCTTGTGGACGTGGCGCAGCGGGAGCGTCGCGTACTCAGAGAGGCCAGGGGTCGGCGACATGGAGCGCTGCCACCCAACATCATCTTCCGCGCCGCCATTGTTGTTGGCGTGTTCCAGCCGCAACAGCCGCAGCCTTACCACCTCATTTCGGCTTTCGCTGATGGGGCGCGGCGACGGCGAGTCGCCGGTGGCGGTGGTGCTGGCCACGGACGGCCGCTCAGACGACATGCCATTTTCGTGCAGCGCCTCCGCGTGCCGTTTGTCACCGCTGTCACTGTTGGTGGGCGCAACTTTCTCCACAGCGTGGAGCGACTTCACTTCGTAGTCGATGTGCGGCATGTGAGACACACCGCAACCCATCGCCACTCAGCCTGCTGTCTGTCTTGCGCTATTCCCTATACCCCCACACCTGCGTTTTCGTTTGGCCCTTCACGTTGTGTGCTTTTTTTTGTTGTTCCCTTTCACGCCTTGTCACTTGCTGCACGTGGAGTCTTGTCCGTGCCCGACGCTCCCACGCGACGCCGCGGAAACCAGAAGAGAGGCGTGAAAGAACAGTGATGAGAGAAAAGTCAAATGTACACTCCACAAGTGTCCTTGCAGCACTCGCCACGACCCCACAAGCTGGGGGCTGGGGTGGAGGGGGGGGGAGTGACACAGTAACCACTCTGCACTTCTGATTGCTTTATTAAACAATACCCCGATCTTCTCTCTCTTTTCTCTTTTCTCTCTCTCTCTCCCTCTCACAGAAACACCGTTGATCACACAGAAGCCAGCACAAGTACACACAACCCGCACTCACAGCAAGTGAGGGCCTCGCTGCTGTTTCTTCCGTTGCCGCAGTAGCCTACACACCGATGGGATGAATGACGCCAACGTTGCTGCTGCGGAGAAGTAGCTTTCCCAGCGGCACCACCTCCTTCGTCTTGGTGTGCACCTCCGCCGCGTCCCCGAGCACGACGTTCATGAACTCATCGTAGCCAAGGAGCGTGCCCTCGATCTTCATCTGCGTGTCGTGCACGAGCCACACGCACACGCGCTGGCCTTCCTTCATGTAGCGGTAGATGATGTTGGTCGGCTTGACCATCTGCTTCGTCGTCGCGCTCATCACTGTGTCGTCCTGAGTGCCTGTGCTTGTGTCTGCGTGTGTGCGCGCCCGTGCAATACTGGGGAGAGCGTAAAGACAAAATGAAAAAGAAAACGAGGGGAGACAGAGAAGACGCATCCTCACTTGCACGCACACGCTATCAGTCTCCTCACACGCACACACCGAGAGAAAGAAAGAAAGAGAGACGGACACATTATTACAGTTGGGGGGAGGGAGGGGGGGGGCACATGCAAACGAAACCAGGCGTCGCGTCAGGAACGGGAGACACATGCGGTGGTTGTCGCGGGGAGCCGAACTGTCAGCGCCGAGTGGAACAGAGAAGGAAGGGAATATCGCCGTCCACACACACACACACACACCGAGACATCTATCACCGACCTACCCACATGTGCCTTCAACCCCGCACTTTCCATCTCTCATCTCGCATTCTTCACTCATGTTCTTCCCCTCTCGCACTTATTTTCTCCCTTTTGTTATGGCGCCCTACGGAGATAACAGATGATGACACTGTGAAGATGAATGAATAGAATAAGTGAATTCAAAAACACATACACCAGCATCACACGCACACTTCTCGCAATCCAGCACGAGTGACTCTTACACATATAACTCTTCTTTTCTCCGTTCGGCATCCTCACTCGGTGTGATCTCCCACCACCGTAATGTTTTACCCTGAAGGTACCTCACACACAAACACACACGCACTCTCCCTCCCTCACTCCCTCTTTCACTCTCTCTTTCACTCACTTTCCCCTTCCCTCCCTTCTCCAAGACACCCTCATCTCCTAAATCCACACTACTCGTAGAACAACATATACACCTCCGCTTGGCACTGAAGAACCCGTCCCTTCTCCACTATCTCAATGCACTCATCGTCGCAGCAGAACCACGTGTCTGGGTTGTTTCTGTTCCGCACAAACGCCATATAATGGCCACCGTGGAGGGATCCGCGATGCGTCACGATGCCAACAAGCTCCCGTTGGAGCGACGGCAGCGGCTCCTGTTCCTTCACTTCACCGTTGGTGATGTTATTTTCTGCGGTGGCAGCAGCATTAATATTTACGGTGGTGGTGGCTGCGGAGGATGTCAGCGACGCGCAAGCGAGGCTCCCCTCGTCACCAGTGTCGCCAGACACCTGGTGCGCACTTGCCACTCCCGGCAAATGCGCCGATGCAGACGCCTTTGTTGCCGTGCGACCGGCGTCTTCACACCCCTCAGCGTTGTGCAGCTGCTCCACTTCCAGAGGTACTTGGTCGGCTAACATGTGTATGCCGTTGTTGTTGTTGCTGTTGCTGCAGGCACCGCTGCTCCCGCGGGGCTCGGCCCACCGTTTCTCTGAGGCGGGAAGAGGGAACATATGTCGGTGCTCGCGCAACACCTCTTCCGATACGAACGGCGAGAGATCAAGCGTCATTGGGAACGCCACACGGCGCGCCAGCTTGTGGAAGTCGCGACCCTCCACGTGAAAGCGAAGCAAGTGCAGAGCGAGTGTGCCGCCCAAACGGCTGATGGACGTCTTCACATCCGCGTCGGCGTAGATGCAGTTGAGACTCTTCTTCTCCTCTGCTGGTGCTGCATTTCCTGCCTTCTTCTTTGCCTTATCTTTCTTCTCGTTCTCCGCCCTGATAGCAGCGTTGTGCAGCTCCTGTTCCTCTTTGGAAAGCCTCTTGAAGCAAACCTCGCAGGCGTACTGATCCTTCTCCCGCAGCTTCCCCGGCGCGAAGAGTTTGCGCAGGCCGCACTCAATGGAATCCTCAACGGGAATAGAAAGAGCCATGAATGTTTCCTCACGGGGAAAGTGTGTGCTGCAGCGCGTGCAAGTCACCTCTGTGCGCACACTACCCTCGAATGACAGGCGTGGGCCCTTTTTCTTCTGTTTCTCTGTCTTTCCCTTGTCGAATTCATCGGCCACGCCATTGATCATGCACAAGAAGAGCTCCTGACAGTCCTGTTGGTCATCCTCAGCAAACATGGAAGAGATATCACACACACTTTGTAGCACCGCTCGCGCATACGGGTACGCTGCGTGCCTCCGCACATCCTCCGCCGTCTCCTTCCGCAGGTGATGAATCATGTCTTGCAAACGGCGGGACAGAGGGCCTGGTAGCGCCGCTCCACTGAGTGAGAGAAGTGGGCGCGTAAAGAATTCACACTTAAGGACGCACTGGAGGACAGAGTTAAAGTAGCAGGTGTTTTGCACATTCTCAATACCTGCAATGTGTGCGCTGGCCATCAGCTCTGTTTCTCGTTCAATGTTTCGCCCACGAGTGGACGACGTCACCATGGAGGACACCTGACTTGAGTGCAGGTCTGGACCCGGAAGTCTGCCACGGTCACCGTGAGGATCGGCGCCAGCGCGAGCTCGCGAAGCAGTCCCACCCAAGGTCGTCGACTCCGGAGTTGACGCAGTCCCATCGATGCGGAGGTCCACAGCAACACCGTGTTGGAAGAGATACAACAGCTTCGCAACCGCGACACCCAGGCGCTTTACGCACAAATGGGTTTGAAGGGCTTCTGAGTAATTAGATGCGCTCAGTTGCGCTGGCTTCTCGCTACAGAGCATACACCACACATTGTACACCCACTCCTGCTCCTCATTGCAGAGACGATACAGAAGACCGCTTTCCTCGTCCTCAGTCAGCGGTGCATTCCCGCGCATCTGCTCGATGCCATCTACGCAGTACATGGGGAACACAGACTTGTTCTTCTCTGGAGATGTGTGCTCACCCTGCGTCGGGACGCCACTGGGTATGCCCAAAAAGATAGTGTGATCTCTTGTGCTGTTGCTGTCGCTGAAGGTGCCTCTGGGATGATCAATGAAGGGCCTCGCATACATGTTGCAGTGGATTTTTGCATGATCCGTGCAGAAGCAAAGCGTGCAGGTGAGGCACATCCACATGTCTTCTAAGCTACCTTTCCTGGTGGCGTCGCGGCTGTCACTCTTCTTGAAGATGCCGCGCATAGCAAAGAATCCTTTTTTCTTCTCCGACTTCGAAGGGTCGCGGCGCTCGCACTGGTAGCACAACATAGCGATTGGGTCTAACGACGCAACACCATCCTTGAGCCAATGATTCGCAAAGACAGCACGCAACCTCTCCGGCTTTACTCGCCCAATACAACCACAGATCATTCTTTTTGCGCGTTTTGTTGCAGTAATAGCGGGCCCGTAACCTGGTGGGGCGCCAACAGCCAAAAACGACGTTTTTGTGGCCTCCAGAGTCTGTAGAAATCTAAACGACGCGGTACTCTCCTTCCTCGGCTCCACTTTCCCGGCTACACGACAGCAGGGCAAAATCCAGGTTTGTGAGCGAGGAAGGCCTGCTGTTTTGTCCGCCTTGCTAATCCTATTTCCAATGTCGTTTTGTCTCCGTTGGTTTATTCTGTTCAACAGAGATTCACAGGCACAAAGCCAATAAGAAACACAAAACAAAAACAATAAGAGAAAAGGGATCAAGGCAAAAAAGTAACCAAGCACATAGGCCGGCCCAAGAACAAAGCCCAATTCACATATAATTTCTCATCACCGTATTTTCCTAGGGCTGTGATAGCCCGCAGCAGAACAGTACGTCAGCAGGGATCACGATTGCTGTGTTTCCAGAACCAGAAGCAGCAGCAGCAGCAGGAGGAGGTATGCTGTGCCGTGAGAGGGGTGCTTGTCAGAGTTAAAGGGTTCTTGTCGATTGCGGTGCTTTTCACGCTCCTCGCGGAGTCAAAGTACACTCAGAAAACATCGGTTGATCATCATTCGTCACGAACACGGGGAAGTGGCAGCATCTCCCACAGCCTTGATAATCCATAGCAGAACAGTACGTCAGCAGGGATCACGATTGCTGTGTTTCCAGAACCAGAAGCAGAAGCAGAAGCAGCAGCAGCAGCAGGAGGAGGTATGCTGTGCCGTGAGAGGGGTGCTTGTCAGAGTTAAAGGGTTCTTGTCGATTGCGGTGCTTTTCACGCTCCTCGCGGAGTCAAAGTACACTCAGAAAACATCGGTTGATCATCATTCGCCACGAACACGGAAACATGAGAATGAAGGACGCTACTCCACCGCGTGCGTATTCCGGGCCTCACATCTCACACGAAAACCTACAGTACCTATGATACACTGAAGCCCGGGAACTATGCACGGAAGAGACTGCTGGATGCAACATGTATATACAGTGCCAATGGACGCATTTGACACCTATCCTTTCTACATCACGGTACAGTGGAAAGTGAAAGGCAAGGAAAAAACAATCTCACACGCACCGGCTCCATTGCGCCGAGACACTCACGCAGGAGAAAGTCATTTGAAAACGCAGCGCACCGCTTGGTTCTGCTCCGACTGTAGTTCACACAAACACAGACGCACAATCAAACGCAGAGTCAGAAGAAGTTGTCCATGCCGCGACTATACGACTCGCACAGAGCAATGACCTCCAGTCCTGTTGGGATGATACTAAAAATGAAGAACACATGCCACAGACGGGCGACATGCGCCGTCACGCTCCACGCGACAATTAGCAAGACAGCCGCGGTGGCATGACAACAGCCATGCACTACGTTCATGAGCCCCCAGCGTAGGGTGCGAGCAGTGAAAACACCCCAAGAGTTGAAGAACAAGAAGATGAAACTACCTGCAAGGCACGCGTCCGCTGCGCGACGGAAAAATATGTAATCGTCCTCTCCGTATCCTGGAAGTAATGACGCGTTTCGTATCATCGCATCACTCCCGTCCGCTGCGCAGATGAGGGCGGTGAAGTGCACCACCATCATGAGGAGCCGGAAGGGGACGAGCAAGGCCACATTGCAGCGACGCAGGAATGTTGAGTGGTATCCGCAGAGTACCCGCCTCGGTGATGCAGAGACTCTATACATTTACAGTGATTGTCTATGTCGCGTTGCCTGAAAGAGAGATTGT